CCGATTTAAAAACTAATAAAATGATATAGAAGAATAACTGCATAGTTTTAATCAAATAGCTTCCTCTTAAATATGTTCCAAAACACATTCGCACATCTGTGCATATAATCCCAACTGGTTCTAACATCCCGGAACGAAGTGACTGCTGCCGGCCAAGTCTTAGAAATGTGTTGTGTTACAAAAGTTGCAAGTCATTGTTGATTAGTGTTCATAGTTAATAACTGATGATACATACTTAATGGTCACATTTACTTAATCCTCATAGTTAACATACTAACTGGTCATAGATACTTACTGATCAGAGTTACTTACTGCTCGTAGTTACTTATTGCTCATAGTTTATTACTTATTAATTATTTCTTGATCATAGTTATCTACTATATATTAATTTATTTAAGTGTATAAATCCCGATACACACATAATTAATTTTCTTTATTTATGGTTAAATTTTCCCCTAAAAAAAGGAGCAGAAGCTTCGGCCATCAGTCTAGACCGCAACTACAATTAATGGCCATTAAAACTGCTATTGGCTGGAACTTGCTACAAAAATAATACCCAATTAGTTTCTGTTTGTTGCACAATTTTTGCATAGACATTTTTCCATGCAATTAAAATCGGCGTATACATGCAAAAATGTAGATTGCATTAATGTTTAATTCTGCGTAAATGTTTGCACTTTTCGTTAGTCGAGAGAAAACAAAGAGCAATAAAAATGGAAGCTTTATAAAATATTAAAGCATTCATAAATAATTCCATAATGCACTAGTGCATAGAAAAATTGGTTCAAAAACTGTTTTAAATAAGAATATGGGTACAAAGTTTAAATGGTTCGAAAAATGTTAATAGCTATGAGGAAGGTAAACAAAACTTATAAAGAAACTAGATATATTGACCCCTCTATCAAATATCATATAAATTAAAGGAATATATATAATACAGCTTGTATTTAATTACCAAACAGTTTATTTAAATTACTTAAGCTGAAGCTTAATTATTCCTTTCTGGCTTTAGTTTATTCATCAGATTTATTTATTTGGCATATACAAACCTATTTCGGTTGCAATTTCCCCTCTCCTGTGGGACACATATAATCGTTTCACGCGATTATATCGCTTTGAATGTTTTCAGCAGGAAATTAAATGCAATTTAGCAGGAACTTCAACCCAGGGACGGCGCTTAAATGTAAGCTTCACCTGTCCGTTGTGCGTATCTGTGTGTGGGTGAGTGCATCTGCATCTGCATCTGCGGGTATGGGTGTGGGAGTGAAGTGTGTTTCCATTTAAGCGCTGCGGCATTTGCCGTTTGTTGGTAATTCCTGCTGCAAAAAGGAGAGATGTCGCCCACTTGGAAATTCCCTCCCCTCTCCCGAGTATGTCTGTCTGCCGCCTGTATGTGTGGCGGAAATTAATTATGCAGGCATATCATGGCAACTCCTTTCTCTCTCTCTTTGGAGCGCCATCTATCTGCACTCTGCACTCGCCACACACACCCACACACATGCACATGCACATGTGCACTTGCATCCTTTTTCCGTGTGCGGTTTTAATTTGTGAGCCTGTGCCCGTGCTCTTCGCTTGATCCTTTTCCTTTCCGCTTTCGGCCGCTGCATGTTTTCCCCAGCCACGCCCACTTTGCCGCCCCTCGCTTGTTGCCGGCCGGGAAATTTTCAAATTTCTTTTTTTTGTATTTTGTTTTGTGGCTGCTGCTTTGTTTGGCTTTCCATGTGATTTCACTTGGTCGGCAGAAATCGATGAAAGGTGAAAAGGAGCTGGTAGAGGTAGGATCCTTGGAGGAGTCCTCTTTTAAAGCTTCGACTCGGGAATTATCTGGCAGCGTCTGTTTTATTGCAGTTTTAATTGATTGCATTTAGCTGCTTCTTTGCTATGGCACACACTTTCCATTTAGTTGCCAGTGATGATGTTTTTGATTGACAAAATAAAGTAAGCTAGGAATGTTGTCAAATATAAATTGATTATAGAGACATTAGCTTCAAGTATAAGTTTACAAATTAAAATATTAATAAATAATTCGACATTTTTAATGATGACACCTTTTATACAATTTTTTTTTTGGCCTAGGTATACCTTTTCTAAGAAAAGTGATATTTAATTATATTTTTGTATTAATTTTTTGAGCAAACCAAAATTTTTCAAATATCAAAACTCAGCCAAAATGCATTAAATTCAATCCGTATAGTTTTATTGTACTAGTTTTTACACGATTTCAACTAAAAATATTAAACTTTTTAAAATGATTACAATTTAAACGACGAAACTCCTTATCAAATTTTGAAAAAATATCAAAAATATTTTCCTACCGGATTTGGTTTTTGGTGCTGATTAATAATACAATACATAGGTTCGGTAATGAGTCCTTCACTATAATTATAAAATCCTGGTAGGTTATAAAAATTCAATACAAATATACATATTTTAAAAGACTTCTCTCCAAGCTTCCTTACTTACCTTGCAAGCCCAATTATCTAGATATAGTTAGAAAATACCCATGATAACAGAACTCTCAACACAGGATGAGCTTATCTGCGTTGTGCTTGCCTCATGCGCCGCCAGGTGGCGCTATCATCGTCGTTAACCCTTCTGGGTGCACTCTGCTTATAAATTCTATAAATTTTAGATCATAATGTGGCCGGCACCCATCCTGCTGTGCGCGTGTTACTACAGCTACATCTGCTGTACAGTGCGGTGCAGGTGGGCGACGGCTAGTGGGTGGCAAATGGGTCAGAGGTCGAGCCACAGCTACTATTGTTATGCATTTTCATTAGTTTCAACTCTCCGGCTTAGACACTGTCATTAGCACGAAATTGGTTGCTAAAATAAGTCCACACACAAGTTGTAATCGAAAAGTTTTGTAAAGTCCAATCATCAGCCTAACTAAGAGGGGAATATTTTAATTAATGGTCAGTTTGGTTTACTAATTAATAAATCTTTAAGATGAATAGGATGGCCTCCTCTGTAACTGTGATTTTCTCTCCCACTCATTAGCAGTAGATTTCGCTTTCCCCGTTGGACTTTCGCTGTCTGGAAATCATTAGGACGTACTCCTAAAGCGCCAACCTGCTAATTAAGCCCACTTACCACAGTTGTAACAAAGAAACCACCTTCGATACTAAAAATCATTAAACATCCATTTGTTCGGCTATTATTTTTTCCATTGTCACTGTATTTATTTGGATTTTTGCATAGTAATAATATGTTCACTTTATTAGTATTGGTTTGTTTTCTGCTTAACGTTTGCTTTATTATACATTAAAATTTATGCTAAAAGTTGTAAATAAAATCATTTTGAAATGTTTTACGTTTCGTATATATATATATATAAATATTCCGCTTGGTAATTTGTGGTAGCTTCTATAAACAATTACGCAGATTTATTGAAATATTCAATGTCGCATTGAGACTGTGTATTTGTGCGGTGCGAATTTTAATAAATATTTTAATTTGAGCAAATAGATTGCCCGTAAATTATGGCAAACAATCGATACTGTACAGTACAGTATAGAGTAAATAATTACGCATGGAAAAGAGTAGTGGGTGGCAGGACATTAAACGGCTTACGGTATCTGACTAAATGGTAAATAAATTCACAATCATTAAACTTCCAAATTCCGTTCGAAATTAATAATTGAGCTCGTCGATTGCCGCCGGGCAAATGTCATTAATATGCAAATGCGCGTTAAGCAATCCGGGAATTATTTCTCGGTGGCCCAAATAATTTTCGCCATAATTCGTGCCAAATGGTTTCAATTTGAGTGCCGCTTAAATTTAGGTTTTATCTATAGTAAAATATATATATACAGTGCTTGGTGTCGGAACTATGTCGATAAACTTAAATTAAAATTGGTGCACTAAGCGAATGAAAATTGAAAGTTGCGTTTTAAAATCGTTTCGTCTCTCCACACTTCCTTATGGCTCGCATTGAGTTGTAAAATTGAAGATATCCTTAATTTAGTTTTAGTTGTCACTATCGAAATGCAGGAAAAAAGCAAGAGAGTCTGTGTGGGCTAGTTCACATTCATATGGTTTATACATTAATTATTTCGCTATATTTACGTGTTAGTTTCTATATATTTTCTGGTATCCGCTTTAAATGCCATTTGCTTTAATGAGTTCAATGTCGGAGTATGCATTTAGGAATAAAAAAGCACACACGAAGCTACATTGTCCATTCGGAAATAAAATTAAAATTTGACTAGAAATTAAATATAAAAATTTAATTTTGTTCTTGTTGTGTGATCTTTCGAGGGTTCATTTTGTTTGTTTTGTTTGTTTTGTTTGTTAAAACTTAGCTTAATTAACATGAATAATATATGTGTATATGTAATTTATATATTTAAATTGTAATTTTAATGATTTGTTTTCGTTTATCGTGTGTTTATTATAATTAAATAACATAACATTAGTTAATAAAAACTAAAAACGCAGTCAATTTATATATTTGGAATTTCATTTTGCATACGCATAAAATACACATAACTCTTTTGGGTTTATTTCCATTTATGCATAATAAATGTGGCTTATTTTGTGGATTTTTTCGTTATTGAAACATTCATGAACAATGCTACGGTTTCTTATTGTTTTATGTGGGGTAAAACATGCGCAAAAAAGTCTTATTTCATGTTGCTAAAGGTAATAGATTTTCGTTTTGTGTGTATGTGTTTTGTTCTAGAGCTATTTGGAAAAAACTTTTTCGAATAGAGGTCTTAAAACATCTAACATACACAATCAGCTGATATACATTTAATTCGTATGTGTATATGAGGGAGGGTCGATCGTTTTGTATAGCAAAATAAAGATGTGAAAGTTATTAAATCTTTGGACAGGTTTTTAAAGTTTTTCCATATATATGCCAACTTGTATGACATAAAGTTTTAATGGAAATTTGACAGCTTAAGATGTATAAAATATTTTCATTTGTCTGCAAATTACAAATTTTATTTTCACAGAAATCTGATGAAAAAAATCTCTTGAAAGTTGCTATGCAGTTTGACATATTTTAAATGATTTGAAAATTCCTGCTATTCAAAAGTTCTTGGAATATTTCAAAGTTTGTCCTTTGAATTCTTGAGTTTATATTCACATCCTTCTGATCGACCCAACCTTGTGTATAAATAGATTTCTTTTCGTTTTATTTTCGTATTGTTTTGTATAGGATATGCAACTAAATTCACGTCTCTCCTCTTTGCTTTTCCTCTAGTCGTCAGGGGGGTAGAGTTTTCCCCCCCGTTTTCCCCACTCGTCGTCTGGCCTTGAGTTGTTAGCCACTTGACTGAATAATACTTTTCCTGGTTCCGCTCGCTCCTCAGACTCCGGGGACTCGTCGCTTACGACATGGCATTGTAGACAGGCTGCTCGTGCTGCTTGGGGCAGCGACCGTGCTTCTCCATGTAGAGGCCGTACTCACATGTGGGCGGCTTGCAGCGACCTTGCTGAATGCACCTGTTTTGCAAGGGGGAGGAAGGAAGGATGGAAGGTTGAGAGAATGGAATAAGCACTCGATTTATTTGCCACTCACTTGCGATTGTTCATGTCGAAGTGCTCGTTGCCTCGCTTCAGCCAGTCGCAATCGTAGTTGCCGGAGCTGCAATCGCATCTGCACTGCCCGTCGTCCTGCAGGATCTTCTCGAAGCTGCGCGGACAGGTGCAGCTTAATATGGTGGCCCGCACCGCCGATGGTCCATAGTTGGCCATGGCCGTGTCCTCGTTGTAGCTCGACCGCTCGATGCAATGACACTCCGTGTGGTTCACAAATGTCCGCTTCTCGATGACGCTGCGGTGCTTGGTGCTCTTCACCTGCGGGTGCCCCGAAAATGGGAAATGGGAAATCCGTAAATGAAATGCCATACTTAGTTAATTGCCAGCGATATCATCGCACACACACACACATCCACACATCCATATCCCTGGCTTAATTATGCCGGCCAACTATTTGCATGTCGAGCTTGCATAATTTGAAACCCAATCCCCCGCCTAAACCCCCTGTCTCGTTTGCATATAGAATATATATGTCTTCGTATCTGGCAGCTAGGGAGTTGACAGTTTCCTAAGCTGACTGCTCATCAAACTTGTTGTCATTGTTGCCATGGCTCGTTGTCGGACGGTTATATGTACATAGATATAGCTCTTGTAATTCTTAAATGAGTTGTCAGTAGTCAGCAGACAGGGGCTTAGATTGGGGATTGTAGGTGTTATCAAAGGGGGGATTAAAATATATACATATTCCTAAAGTGTTCAATGAATTGTAGATGTGATTTGGATAAAGCTATTTGAAGTATTTGAGTTGGGAGTTCCAGAATATATAGATACCTATATTTCTCTTCAACCTTATATTTTCCATATGAAATCCCTCCTTTTTTACCATGACTGGAACGCCACTGACCGAAGCCATTAACAGACCACAAAACTTCTACAGCTGCTGATGCTTGGGATTGGGATTGGATTGGTCCCATGGTCTTTGCCTGCCTCCCCCAGCATGTTGCCACTCTTTGGTGGCCGGTCTGTGGTCCACATTTTACTCCGATTTCCCCCCTGTGGCGGCTCCCCTTTGGAATTTGTGGGTTTTGTGCATGACAAGTGCAAAATGATGAAATGCGTATGAATTGCATAAATTAAGTTGAATTCGTTTAATTAAAATAACAAGTTGGTTATTAATCAAGCCCTGGCCACTCATCCATCCAGTTGAGAGTTCTTGGCTTCACAAGGAGTGGATCAGAGAATCAGAAAATCGGAAAATGGGAAAATGGTAGAAAGTGAGAATAAACAGCAGCGCAATCTGGCAGAAAAGTGCCACAAAAAAACAAGAAATGATTGACAAATTGCATTGAGTTCTGTGAAGCATTTGAATTTTGATTGGACGCATCAAAGCAGAAACAACGAGCAAACCCAATAAGTTGACAAAGCACTAAAAAGGGTAAAATTGGTCAAGGAAAACCCCATGTTTCAGGTATTTATGAAAATTCAGCAAATTGAGTTTTTACTTTGCCTTCCTGCGGCTCGTGTTGTGCGGTTCTTTGGGTCTGCGGTGTGGTTTTTGGCCAATGCTAATGTAAATGCAACTCAACAAGCGAATTGAAAAAGTTTTCTGGGCCCATCCCTTTCACCTGAAAGTAGTTTCAGCGGTTCCTTGTTTTGCATGCTTAGGTAGGGGCCCAAGCGAAATTCCTTGAGAACCAGGACGGGGCTTTTCTTCACTAAGAGCAACAATAATTGCCGGAAACGGAAGTGCCAAGTGCTGCCGTTGTTACTTTACTATACCCAAGACCCTTTCCCCAAACCGCATTTGTGCAAAAAATTGCACTAAAGTGCTTCTCCTGTTTGTGCTGCTCAGTAAATATGCAAATCTCACAGCCTATACACTACGAAATATGAGGATTTACTAATTGGGTTACTTTTTCAAACTATTTAATTTATTGGAAAGAGTTTAAAGAAATTCTGAATTTGTAATATGAAATTGGAGAAAAGTTTGATGTAGTTTTTTTAAGCAAAGGAATATTATATTTGTTCTTAGATGTTTGTATTCAACACATTTCAAACTTTAAATTCGAATTCTTGTTTTAAATAATAATAAGAACTACAGTGTATACTGGATATATAATCATATTGTGTAGGAGTGTTTTTTGAAGGGGGGTAGTAAGGATGTCGGGTCGTTTACTTTCCAAGATGGCCTCTCTCTAATTGAGGTTGGGGTTTTGTGCATGCAAATGCATTCGTAAAACCCATTTTTGCCCCGTTTCTCTGAGAGGGGGGGTGGTTGAAGGTGCGTGTGTGTCCGGTGTGTGTGCGAACCGAGCAATTAGTCAGTTATTGCTCGGCTTGCCAAGGGGTTTTTCCCAAGGAGAAGAGGTGCGATTAAGTCAGCTCAGTGGTGTGTAAGCATAAAATGTTTTCCCTAAAATTTCATGCATTTTCCACAGGCCTCCCAAGTGGTTTTGTTTTTACAAAAACAATGGGCCAGGTCGAGAGCTTAATTGAGACGAAAAATAAAAGTAGTAGTTGGGGTATTTGTAAACATGAAGATTTCAACCAACTCTTGGGGTGGAATTTCCAATGAGTTATTGTTCTAAAAGTGCAACAAATGTTGTCTTGAAAAATATATTCATTGCATGTATGCAGTCTTGACAATGTAGAAAGTGTGTTTTATAAGACAATTGTAACCTTACTGATTATTATGGCTTTAAAATTATTTCCATAGAATGAAATTTACCTTCTCTCAAAATTTCCATTTCACCTGACTAAATTAAGGTATTTTCTTAGCGAACTTTCAACTGTGGTAAAAGCATCCTAGCAAAGTTATGAACTTCAGCAAATTAGTGAAGAGTTTATGTAGTTTTACGCTTAGGATTTCAACAGCTGTCTTCCCTTTACTTGAGACACACTTCTTCCCAACATGTGGTTTCTGAATAAATCCAAAGAAGTCACAACTGGCAACTGTCATCAACATGGCTGATAAAGTTTCAGCAAGAAGGGATATTAGGAAAAAGACACAGTTTAGTTGAGTCCTTGAGCAAGAAGAAGGTGGTTTGAGATAAAAACACTATAAAATTTGTTAATAAAGATAAGACAACATACTTTTTGTACAAAATATAGTGATAGAAGAAGAAAAACTAGCCTTGGGAAGTAAAATTTGAAAAGATGATCAGTTTGCCACCACATGAACTCAGTCCATAGTCCTAACAGTTGACTCAAATTCTTAAAAGTCGGAAATGAATCCTTCGCAGTTTTAAAAGCTTCTGACTAAAATTAGAATACCCAGCAAGTGTATGCTAATGATATTTTCAACTAATATAAATTTCATATTATAAGGTATGCAAATTTAAAATTGGAAAGTTGCATTGCAAAAGAAATTCACACATTTGTACAGCTGCAGTAGGGTGTGACTTTTATGGTGATGGGTTTTTGGGGCCATTTCTCATCCATTTGATGGCGCTCACATCAGCGTTGCATTAGGGGAAGCTTTTCCTGCTGTGTGGGATACTGCTGCTTACCTCCTGCACCTGCTTCCACCTGTTTACGTGCTCGCAATTTGCATTTTCCTCGCCTTTTACACCCATTCCAACCAGATCTTCGTCCCTTCGACACACACACGTGTGGATGTCCCGCAGACTGGCCCGGGGATTTGAGTTTGGGAAAATTGCATTACGGAGCTCCAAAACTGGCGGCGGATGTGTCACGAAAGGGGGAGGGGGTCGTCCTTAAACTACTTCTCCACCTTTCTAGACTTTCCCCACATTTACCGACCAGGCTTTCCCCTTGCTATTGTTTAACTCATCCCAGGCTTATTATGCACACGCCTCGAGCTGGCCACATTTTGTGGCAAATTAATTAAATCACCGAAGTTCGGTTCGCTTTGGTCTCCAGATGGGAATGCACAGTGGAAAAAAAATATAGCTTAGGGAAGATTTAATAATACTATATGCTATATAAATCCCAATTGAAAGAAATCTCCCAATTGAAGGAAATCTTTTCAATACCTCAACAAACTTTGTTAGTTTTTAAACAAAATCTCTTTCGATCTGGAATATGAGCCTATTACTTATCTAGAAATGTTTTCTCTCTACATATATGAAGGTTATATGTAGAGATGTTGCTATATAAGATGAGGACTTGGCCATTTGCCTGACAGCCAATTGACTTTTACTTTGGCTTCGGTTTGCTAAACAAGCAAAACTTTAGCTGGGTGTGTGTGTTTTATTATTGCTGCTCGTGGGCGTTGGCTTTCACGTTTAGGAGGCCTTTGATTTCAGCTTTTTCTAGCTGCCGACCGCCCCCTCTTCAGTGTTACCTCCAGCTCTTGCTCCTCTTTGACTCCACTCGGGTGAAAGTGGAGGGCAGTGAACCCAGAGAAAGAGAATCCAGGAGGCGAAGAAAGGAAGGAGGAGACCGACTCATAAATCTCACAACGCTTACAACATGTGCTGGAGTTTGCAGGGAGTTCAATGTCCTTTCTCCAGACTTGCACAATGCAGAACGAAACCCGCTCCTGGTGCTCAACGTCCTCAACTCGAAAAAAAAAATAAAAAAAACCTTACACCAAATGCAAAATTTGTGCAACATAAATTATGTTTTGTTAAAATGTTTACGCTTTTTTTGTGTGTTGTGTTGCGCTGCTGCTCTTGTTGGTTGCATCCTCAGCCTGGTTATCGCTCCTTAAGTTTTCTACACCCCGACACCGCAAAGAGCACTCTTACACTGAGGGAAAATCTTATAGAATTATGAAATATAGTGAATTAAAAATATTTATATTCAAATGAATGACTGGAATCAAGCCATATCCATGTCTTAAAGGATATCTAGAAGAATATCACTATAAATCATATAGTTGCTTCCCAAATTAAGCTGGTATTATATAGTATATATTTTATATAACTTTATAAATTATATTTTCTTCCCAGTGCATCTCCTGCTGAGTGTGTGTGTTGGCGTGTGTTTGCCTGCCACTTGACACCTCTCAATGACAAACCGCTGAGTTGCTTCCTCCTGGCAAAAGCTGCTCCTTCATATTCTTCTCTTTCCCACTGCTTCTTCTTTAGGTTCTTTTTCTTCGTCTTCTCCTGCTACAGAATCTTCTTCTCCATATTCTTCTCCTGGCTCTTTAGTGGCTTGTATTTTTTCCATACATATGTGCGCTTAAGCCTCAGACTGCCAACAGTTTTGGACATATAGCTTCAGCTTCAGTTTCCTGGCCACAAATATTTTTCGTGTCCTAAGTCTAGCTGATGGGATAGAGGGGCAACAGGGGGCGGAAAGTTTATGGAAAATAGAGGAAATTTTTGGGTGAAATGGGAGCAGAGGAAAAGAGAGCAGAGCCAGGATGATGGACACAAAAGTTCCTGGGGGCCATACACTTTGCTGCCAACCGATTCCACGGAGCTTGTCATGGAGTTTGCTCCTGCTCTAGCCCAAAAATGAATAAGTTTATTTTGGGGATTTCCCAGAAAGTGACACAGAGATAGAGAAAGGGGAAAAGAGAAACTATTTGCATATTAGATTCGGCTTTAAAGTGAAATTGTAGTAAGCCAAGATTTTAGAATGTAAATGTGTTGCCGTGGAGGCTACTACTTTGTCTTCATTTTTACTAAGTATAAGATGTATGGAACTATACCTTTTCTATAGTATCAATAAATATCTTTAACCAAGTCAGGAAAATTTATATTTCAACAATATATTATTTTAAAACCTTAGTAGATCTCTATAATATTTGTTATAAATAACATTAAATAACATTTCCATTACAACTCATAAGCGGTTGCCTTAAATTTCTACAAATTATTTTACTTCAGGATATTTATATAACTATTTATTAAACCAAGTTCCTTAGGTCCAAGTTTTTGGCAAACCCTATTATTTATATTTTTTCTAGTTTATTTTCCATATCCCCTTTTCGACTTTATAAGTCTTCACAACTTTACGTATTTTAACACATCTGCAAACAGAACAATGCTGAAACCCCCAGTGAAACTTTCGCTCAAACAACCGCATATTAAATTTGCCCTTAACTTTATTACGAAGTCTTTAATCTGTTGCATATATATTTAACTTAATATTTTATGTTGCCCTATTGGCTAGGACTTTCACAAGATTTTCCGATGGCTAATCTTGGCCCTCGTAACTTTGCCATTAATTTCAAAGGCCCGGAAAACCCTCTCCCTTCCGCTTATCTATCAAGTTTATCTCACAGGTTTTTGCTTCAGTGCCGAAAATGTTAAATTGCCCAACAATAATTTGTGTGGTTTTCCCCCAAGTTTTATTGGATAATTAAGCTGAGGGGGGAGTTAGCTTAACCCCTCATGCCCGCTTCCCACATAATGGGCCATGTGTGGGCGTGTTTGTCTTGTTCTTAAGCATTTTGCGGTTCTGTTTACCTCGGAATTTTGTACCCTCTTCCCACACCCACTGGTGTGTGAGTGTGTGTGTGTGTGCATAAATCTTGCAAGTGGAAACTTTTTGCGGCAAGCGCAGCATAAATATTTGAAAATTAAAAGCCATCCTCGGAGCTCAGAGTTATGAGCTCCGAGTCCTGACTTCCCTCTGCCTCGAAGGCCCTTAATAAAAAAAGTTGCAGCTACAAAAACGGTGCCGCAGAAAGGAAATTTATGAAAGTTGAGCCAAGAAGAAAACCAAGAAGGAAAATCAGCCCCTTATGAAGTCACTCATAATGGAAAACTAAGCAAATGCAGGCTTCGAAAGTAATAGGATGCGCAGGAACAAATTGCAAAGAATGGGTCAGAAGGAGCTTACGTTTAGGTACTCTCCAAAGGGATAGTTAATGGCCCTAAAAATATATTACTTTTTCTGGGAATATATTAAAGAAGATAGTAAAAGGGTAGAGTTATAAATTAAACAAAGAATTTTTGGAGGAGGAAACTGCATTTACAGAATAATTAAGTTACAAAGAGGTATCTCTTTAAATATAAAGAGGAATGATAGCAAACCATTTGATTTCCCTTATTCTAAATAATATCTAAAGGACTATTTGATTAAATAGGTATCCTTAGCTTATCCTATGTTTAACTTAAAGTTTTTTCCCCCTAAACCCAACTCTTGTCAGATTTAATTACCAACAATCCATCACCTCGACAACAGTCCAATCTGTAGCATATTAAACTTAAACAAAACGAGTTTCCTCCCTCAGTGCCAGACTCGAAAATGCTTAATTACATTCTCGATTTCAACATATATTGAAAGCTCGTTATACAACAAAAAGACAGCCAGAACAATGATGGCAACGGCAGCAATAATCATATCATGAAGCATAAATCACCAAACAAATTGAATTATCATTGCGTCATTAAAAAGTCATTTCAGCCGAGGGCCCATGGTGGAAAAAGAAGTATCCGGAATAAAAAAAGCAAACACAAAAAAAATTAAAACGAAAATAAAGGTGAAACGATATAATTATGTTGCAATATGGCGCCCTCAAGCATGACCTACGCCCACCTACACACCAACAATGAGAATAATAAAAGCAACAACGACAATTACCGTCAACAGTAGGATCAAGAGGGAGACAGACAGACTCAAACCGAGAGAGACGGAGACATTGGGCACTTGGGAGCGCGCACGTTCGCTTTTCAAAAACCAAAAACACCAAAAACCTAAACACAATGAATGCTCTCATGTCAGAATGAAAATTGCTTTTTATTTGCCAGCGTTGTTTTGTTTTTCCCGTATTTGTTGCTGCTGCACCCAGGCGCAGGCTTGAATGAAAACCATTTTCCGAGAGGGGGGCAAGGGTGCGGCCAAAACCCCAGGAGTTAATAGAAAATTAATCTAATGTAGGAGGTTTATAGAGGAATATTTATACCCTTGCAGAAGCTTGTAACTTGCGAAGGAATCATTTTTGACCCCATATATATTCTTGATCAGCTTCGATAGCCAAGTCGTTTAAGCTATATTTTAAAGAAAAACATTTTTTCCATTTATTTTTAAATTGAAATTAAGTACTCAGATTTGTCAGCCTGATAAAAACTATCATGGGAACGCTTTCCGAATTGAAATTAAATCGTTTTCGACTGAGTTATGAGTTTCCTAATTTTTAAATTGCCAAAGAAATTGTCATATAAAAATACCGATTTATTTCTTATATCTTTTCAAATGTTTTAATTATTTTCAATTCACGGTTGATTTTTGTTTTCTATTATTATTACTTATTTATATTTTCCCCCTTTATTATTTATATCTCCCAATTGTTTTTAAATCCACAAGTAAACCAAAAATAATACTTACAAAGAAATGCAGCTCAACGTTGTGGGTACTCTTGGCGGCGCATATTTGGGTTCTGCTGGGACAACATCCGCTGTCCTCGCTGCAGCGGTGCAGGATGGTGCAGTGGGGCGTGTAGATCTTGGAGGGATCCTGCTGGACCAGCTGGCATCGCTTCTGGGGCACTCGACAGGTGGCCTCCTTCAGCACCTGGTTCATGTGGGCATGGGCGAGGGCTGCACGTGGGGAATGTCCTCGGGTTAGCTCTTCAACGCTCCTTTCTTGTGGCCCCCAAGGGTTGACTTACCTCTCTCTCTCTTTTGCTTCTGCGCTTGCAGCCGTCTCGCTCGAAGCGCCGCCTCGGGGGTTCCCAGCTGCTCCTCCTTCTTCTGGGTCAACTTTCCGGTTATGTAGTTGCGTGAGTAAATGCTCTCAACATCCTGCAAATGAAAACAAGGTTGGCCAAACTTTAGTTATGCTAATTGATGGCTTCGTATTATGTTCGTTTTGTTTGGGTGAAGAGACATTCATGTTCATGATTCCCCCAACAACCATTTGCTTCCCCCTCTCGCTGCCCATATCATCGCTCACATTACGCATACGCCACCGGGCCCGAGACCATAAAAGTCGCTCGCATTAATAAAGCCTCCATTTAGGCCGTGTGATGACAATTTGTCACCATTTTTATTGTCCAAAGACGACTGGGAATAGTGGAAAGGGAGGCGAGCACAGATTGAGGTAACATGCCAGTGGAACATTAACGAGAAGTTGGTACCGCACAAAATGTGGGGCCCGAAACATAAGTTCATAAACTAAGAATTCATGTGCTCGCGCAGACGGTACCAAGAGCAACAAAGGCAACACAAGAAACAGCAACATTAACAGCAGGAGCAACAGGAATGAAAAAATATTACAAGAAACGCTTTTTGGAACAGTTAAATACCCTAACTTTAAAAGAAATTAAACATTATATTATTTTGTAAACCATTTTAAACTATTTTATATATTTTTATATTTATATATAATTCCACAGTATGGTTTAGAATTTTGTAAGACTTATTTAAGAGTCTCTCTTTCAATTAACTTTTATTAACAGCTCGTTGGTTTTGTTTATATACTTTTGTGACAGAAACTTCACCCTTTTTCTCTGTTAAACTTAATTAACTTGTTGTTTAGCTCCAAACTTTAATCTCTTGGCTTCGCCAACTCCATATCTTTCATCTCCACTCGAGACTGGCAAACTCTGTAGCCAAATCGTGGTACCCTTGACCCATAAGTGCAGAACAATGGCCACATGAAACAAATTGGCATTCAGGGCAATAAATACGACAGCGAGAACAATAGAGAAGAAATTGTCGGACACGGACATGGACATATAGCAATGCTCTGGGAAAAAGGAAATCAACCTGGTCTGGGTCTGGTCTGGACCAGAACGAGAACGAGAACCAAAAAACCAGGCCCAGTCAACCACGAATTGGAAGCGAGACGGAATGAAGTAAAAATGTTGACCAATGCGCACAATTGGCAATTTGTGAAGTTAAGCGAAATTAATGAGCTGGCTGCGTCCATAGCTCTTGCACACACAGAAATATATATATAAATATACAGAGACAAATATACGTACGTGCAGTAAATTGTGCAAATGTGGGTGGGCCAAATGGCTAAATAAAAGGCCAACGGACAGAGCCCATGGAACGCAGCTGAAGGCCTGTTCATTAGTCACACATTGAGGATATATATGTATATACTACATGTTTGGTGTGCTATAAGGTGCTCAAGAGCAATTGGCATAAATCTTCGTCTTCGGCATTGTGTCCATTCTCATTCGCTTTCCCATTCCCACTTCGATTCCAATTCCCATTCCGATTCCCATTTTCATTTGTGGGCTTAGCATTTCAGGTCCATTTGCTTTTTGGCCGAAAACAATGGCTCTTTGATGTTGGTCAATGATTTTTAGCGGTTTAACCTTGAGGCTTATGAATAGGGCCCCCATTGTTGTTTGGGCTGAAATGGCCAGGCTTAAGCTTCACGGCGGTAGGGGGGAGGGAAAAGCCTGACAAGAATGTGGCGTTAATACCAAGGCTATGGCTTAACGGCCAGGTAGATCCTCATCTGCCCATTGGCCAGCATTAAAAGTTAATGCAATTTGATTGAAATGCTCTGGGTGATTTTCTGCGAAAAGAAAATCACTTGAAGATAATGGTCAGGCACTTGAGGGAATTGGTGATAAATTCGGACTTGTGTGTAGAATAAAAATGCTAAGATTTTTTAATGTATCTGTTAAGCGAATATATGTCTCTAATTACTTAAAGATACTCATAAATCTAAGCTAAAATTATAATTATCACCCGAATCTGGGTAAACCACATTAAGTATTAAACATCCGTCCAGCTTCTGGATTTTTATCTCATTTGTCAAATTGCATTTGCAAAAATAATTTCACCTGACCCGTGGACTTCCGGTTTTTTGCGTCTCCTTCGAAGCGCCTGGCGCCTTGCAATTAAATTTGTGCTTTTTTCCGGGCTCCCTTTTGACTCGATTTCCCTGCTTTTCCGCCCAACTGTTGACGACACTTCAGTCTGTGACGTTCGCTGAGAATTTATCACCTTTTCTGATATTACCGCTTCTCTCCCTCTCTCACTCTCTATTTTCCTCGCGACGGGGCCTGTCTGCTTCGCTCGTTTGTCAAGTTTATTCAATTTTGAAAACTGCAACGCGAAGAAGTGGGTGCAAACGGGTGTTTTTCCCCCTAGTCAAGCTGCCTTCACTTTCATCAAACTTCTGGCATTTGACGCCGCGCTGGCTGCTTATTAAAAACTCAAACGCCCCTCGAGGAGAGCTTCTACACTTTCCCTCGCCCCGGTATTCCCTACCATTAGACACTTGGCTGTCGAGTTGAGTGCTGAAATATTGCAGCCTCTCTTTGGGGGATTCCCTCTACTACTACTACTTGCCCCGGCCATTCCTGTCTGGTTCGCTCTGCTCCGTCTGCTGCTGTTTGTCATATTCCATTTCCCAGTCGAGTGGTCTCTCTCGATGGGACGGAAGGGTGCACAGTGAAAATCCAAGCATCCTGGCTAACTCGGATTTCAGCGATTAAATTAAATTCAAATCTCAGGTAACCGCAAGGTTAAAATGCTTTGAATTTTAAGGGGGAATCTAGATTAGAAGATTAGATATGATATTATATCTTCAGACTTTTATAAAAGGTATTTAAAGCCTTCTAATAGGAATACTATGTGTTATATCTCACACATTTATTCAAGAGTAGGTGAGTCCCCACCTGGTTTTCTCCCAGTGCAGCACGTGAAATTGGAGTAGAAGCAGTGCTCTTGATATCATATCAAAGTCGAATGCTTTTATTTATTAGCTGCATGAAAAATGGACTCTGTGGATAGGTGGCAAAGGAGCGTGCAGGCAAACTGAAAACTCGCATTTGAAGTGATTTGAAAAATGTTTGAAATGAGTTTCCCTCCCTCTCCCATTTCGTGCTGCATACTTTCGGGGTGTTCGTGTCAAATTGCGCATACGCCGCATGTGACGCGGGGAATTATTTTTAAAATTTATTTGCATAGAATAACCGAACAAAAGTTGGCCAGATAAAAAATGCTTCGAACTGAAAAGCGGAAAGAAAAGTTTTGCATGGAAAAGTTTGGTTTTTTTTTGTGGCCGCAAGGAGAAAAGTGAAAAATATCCAAACGAAAAATAACACACATATATGCACCCACAACAATGCAGAGGAAAATATTTTGGTTTTCTCGGGTAATTGTTGTTTACTCATCATGTGCACTAGCTACCTATATCTCTATCCCTCTCTGTCTCTTTCTCTATCTCTATCTCTGTCTGTGTGAACTGTTACCTGTTTTGCCTCGATGCGTTTTGTTGCATATAAATTGTATTTGTTGAACTTTATAATGGCAATGAAGTTGATGTTTTTACGAAGCAATTTGCTACAACTTCTATCCGTATGTGTCTTTCTCTTTCTCGCTCTCTCTCTCTCTATCTCTATCTCCGTCTCTGGCTTTGTATCTTTTTATTTCCTATTCTCCTTCTCTATCTGGGTTTTTCTTCTTTGGCCAAAACTTTTGCCAACTTTTCTTTTAAGGCTGGTCTCATAAATTTTTATTATGAATGCACATATTTTTCCTGGCTTCAGTTGCAGTTTCTCCCTTTCTCTCCTTGTTCTTGTCTCTGTCTGATGGCCTATGGGCATCTCTTTCTCGATGTGGCGTCTGCGGTGCAAATGTGTGGCTTAGTTGGTGGCCGGTTGGTGCGGTTAATGTGCATTTGGCAGCTGTTCGGTAGCATGCTTTTGTGGCTTTTCACCATAAATATTGTGCCCGAAAATGGGAACTTGTGTGGCGAACTAAATTATAATACAATCCATCAAAATTGGAAATAATTTGATAGCAAATCCCGCATGCCTGGACTGCTGCTCGCTTTAATCATTATTTGCGGGCCCTGGCTGGCATTTATAATTTAATTAAAACACCTCGCCCGCTTTCGTTAACACACGTGTGTAATTTGCTTTTTGAATGAATTTAACGTTATTTATGTACATTCTGGCTGCCCAGCATTTACGCAAATTTCCCAGGTGCCTTATTTTTCATTCACCAGCAAACAGGAGCAGCTACAGCGGCAGTACACCTGAAATCCAACAAGCCGACTGCGCTGCGAAAAAGGCAGCTTAAAGTCCTTTAAGGCCAACAGCGAATGAATTATAAATGTTAAGCCGACTGAACGATGGCAACCTTTAGCTGTTCGGAGTTCAGATCTTTCAGAGCCCTTGAATCGCTGGTCGGGAATATGACCCGTAAGGGAGATATATATATTGTTCACATATGTATATTCCGCATTCGCATGCGTTTTCTTTCTTTTGGTCATTTTGGCTGAGCTCCAATACTCTGCCAAGGAGTCTTTGAAATTTAAGTCAACGTTTGCTCACGTAATATTAATTTGAAGTTAAAGCTTACAGATGACTATTTTGATCAATGAGCAGATTTAACTAATTTTGTATCAATCTTTTACTTATATTTCCAACTGATTCTGGTAATAATTTTAATATTTACTTATTTAAAATGAAAGCTCAGTGTTGTGTGCCATAATTTTCAATGACGCTTTCTTTTATTTTGCTGACTTGCCATCATTAAACAAGTTAATGCTGACCACGCCCAAACACACACACACATGCAGTTGGGCGGAAGGTTGAATGGGAGGGAGGCGAGTGGGAGTGTGGAGTGTGGTGGAGGAAGTGTGGGCGTGTGCCTGGGGTTTGTCCGACACAGCACTCCTTCCATCAGTTTCCGGGCTTGTCAACTGCAGCAACGGAAAGCAGCAACAAGGTGGCCCCTTTTGCTGGACATGAACTGCATCACAATGCAGCTGATGGGCATCCTGCGTGTGGCCCCCACTTTTGGCACCCCGCTCTTTAAAGTAGCCC